CCGGAGGTCAATTTTAATCAGCAAGATTGACCTTGATAAGCTACTCGATTGGTCAGTGATAACTCACCTGCATGAACGCGGAGCTTCGTAGACCGGGATCGTAATCCACATCTGCGCTATTCATACTGTCCTCGTTAGTCATACCGCATAAATCTTGTGAACTCTGATGACTTTCCGTGTCCATTCCGTCATCCAGAATACGAGGCAATAATGATTGTTCAGGCATGTCCATATGTAATCCAATTGGAATATAATCAGGGTCATCGTCTATCTGTTGCGTGTCTGATATGATATCAGTTTCAGTCATATTACTGTCCGTATCTACATTTGCTGCAGGATATCCCGAATTACTATCTGTTATTTCAAGGAGGTTTTCTGAATCACTCAGTATTTCATGCTGGTAAAAGAAACAAATTCAAGTTATGTAAGATGGAATAAGGTACATATCAGACATCAAAATACCCATTGTTTGCCATTTTGGATCAGGTGTCAAAGTACCATACTCATATTTGGCCATTTTGGATCAGACATCAAAATACTCATTGTTTGCCATTTTGGATCAGGTGTCAAAGTACTGTACTCATATGTGGCCATTTTGGATCAAACATCAAAATACTCATTGTTTGCCATTTTGGATCAGGTGTCAAAGTACTGTACTCATATTTGGCCATTTTGGATCACACATCAACATATTATATGGTGAAATATGTAATCGTAATATAGTACTGAACATAGTACATTGTATAAAAAGTCAGCCATTTTGGACCAGTTGGAAAATGATGAAGTAAATAGGGAATGCGATATAATCATACAGCCATTTTGGATCAGATATGAAAATGAAGCAATGTAACATATTTGCTCTATTTGAAGTACATCTCCAATAGAAGCAGACATAAATACAAAATTGCATTTATTGTATATCATAAAACAATGACTTGATTTTACCATAGACACACCTCTACCGTTAAAATCCTATTATAAACCGCATATCTAATAGTAACCGCACCCCCGATTTCGGCTTCAGTGTTAATGAGTTCTCAACAAAAATGAAAACATGAAAAGTACCTATTACTAACCGCACCCCAAATTCAAAAAGATCGTGACTGACTTTGTTTCAACCAGCTGGTACATTGTTCCTAATCCTATTCATTCGTTTCGACAACGTGTCTAAAAATATTCACATCTCTTTATTGTTCAGTAGTGTTAGGATGTCAAACACGAAGTGAAACTGCTTTTGTTCTTGCGACAACTTTTGTCAATACTCCTTATGAATACGTCCGTGTGTCACAAGTTTTTGACAATGAGCTGTTATCACTGAAAAACTGTTAAATTCTTTTTCAATGCTCAGTTTATCTTTCGAAAACAACTAATTTCTTGATTTAAAAAAAAGTCATGTCGTTTTCCCATGGAAATCAAAGCCAAAAGATCTCACTACATTATCGGTAAATCCCTTCCGGGTTTCGTTCACCATGAAATGGGTGACCTGTCATTAACATATTTAAATGAACTAAGGTATTTTGAACACGTGGGCACCATCCAGCATTTTGATTGGTTAATTAGTGACTTGACCTACCCGGTCAAGTAATGTCTCGTGTGCGTTCAAACTACATGGCGGATGTCGTATCCTATCGATCGTTTACATGTGACCGAAATAATTCGCTTACGGTGAAACTAATTTGAATTTTACTTGCATTTGATAACAATTCAACGAATTTATTTTTCTTGAGTTATTATAATCACTACTGAGTAATAATCAACAATTTCAACACTTCGAAAACAAGTAAGTTATTCACTTGTGAGCCGAAGCATGGCTTCGATGGATTGCGTTACCGTACCCACGGTACTGTACTTTTTTAGTGCCGTACCATGATCATTTTCTACTAAGCAATACATAAATGTTTGTTTTTATTTGAAACTCCTGTCAGAATATACTTTCCGTTACAATGAAAATAAACAAGCAGCCTATCGGCTGAGATAGCTCCGCTGTTAGCAATGCACATTTCAATTAAAGAACTGAAGACATCATTAGAAAATGAACAATATGAATAATATCAAAGCAATCGGACTTACAGTTTTTAACAAGAAGTCGAAAATATCACTTTTTACCGAAATTTACAAAAATATTCACCAAAATAAATTAATTAGAGAATTGAAGATATCATCACAAAATGAACAAATCTGAGAGGTCCACATGTAGTACCTATATATGTAATATCAAAGCAATCGGACTTACAGTTTTCAACAAGAAGTCGAAAATATCACTTTTTACCAAAAATGACAAAAATATTCACCAAAATAAGAGAATTGAAGATATCATCACGAAATGAACAAATCTGAGAGAGGTCCACATGTAGTACCTATATATGTAGTATCAAAGCGATTGGACTTGCGGTTTTTAACAAGAAGTCGAAAATATCACTTTTTACCAAAAATGACAAAATTATTCACCAAAATTAGAGAATTAAAGATATCATTACAAAATGAACAAATCTGAGAGAGGTCCACATGTAGTATCTATATATGTAATATCAAAGCAATTGCACTTGCGGTTTTTAACAAGAAGTCGAAAATATCACTTTTTACCAAAAATGACAAAAATATTCACCAAAATTAGAGAATTGAAGATATCAACATGAAATGAACAAACCTAAGAGAGGTCTACCCAAGGTACATATACACCAAGTATCAAAGCATTCAGGCTTGTAGTTTTCAAGAAGAAGTCGAAAAAGTAAAACATTGACACGGACGACGACGGACGACACCGGACGACGACGGGCAATCACTCATATGATAAGCTCCGCTCGACAAAGTCGACAGCGGAGCTAAAAAAATAAATGCATATTACATTAAATATACTGATTATTTTTTTCATGTGAACAGTTTTTTTTGTGACGTGACGCTTATCACTCTTCCCTGACATCTAAATTGGAGTTACGCTTATATTCAAAAGATGGTACGGTGTATTGTTTGTTTTGTGCAAGTGATGTGGGGAAAAAATGACCACGCCCATTTAGTGATTTCAATATGTACGTAATAGAAACCGCACACTGAACTTGAGCTGTTGATCCCAATTTTTTATTTGATACATTGTAATATAAACCGCGGTTTATAATAGGATTTTAACGGTATTACTAATTACATTACTAAGGCATTACTAATATAGAGTAAATAACGTATACAGTGTAAATGGTGATATACAACCATTTTGGATTCAGTTTTCAGGTAGAACCAAAGTATGACATAGTCTTACCTGTTGATTTGGGTCTTTATTTCTACAGTCTACGCAATTATATATAGTAGTTAATTTATCATCTTTCAGTTGTTGATACACTGAAATATCAATGCTTTCATCGCAATCTACATGAACCCATCTAGACAAACAAGAATATTCAATATCAATAAAAAAAACATTACAGGATTACCGGTACTCTCTTCCAATACGATGCCAAATAATTTCAAATTTGAATAAACAGATGACTTATTCCTGACTAGATGGCGCTGGTTGTTTAGCAGGCATTATGTCTCGGATTCCAGTTGAGTCAAAGTATGCAACAAATAAGCCGCTCTATGATTGGTCTAAATGTTAGATGTTAGAGTGAGGTAGCCAATCAGGCACAATCTTGTAAGTGCTTTGATATGTGAGTAAGGTTAATTGAATTAATGCATAGATACGCATAGATAGCAACCATAGATACTTACATACAAAGAAAATATATGAAAAAAATATAAATAATCGTTTTTTTTAAATTGAAATGTAAAAGCATGATGCAATACACATATTAGTTTTGCGAAAATGTTGTGACAGTAATTTTGGATTTTATAAGAATTGTAACTCACAAGGAATAACAGGTTGTGAAGTAATACAAAATGTCTATTTGTTTACATTGGCTTGTATGTTCAGTAACTTAGCAACCATGGAACGCACACTACAACACTCACTGGTCATTACTTACTTTTTACAACTTTCACACTGAATCATAGCATTATGTGCTGTATGCTGTCTATAAGCTTTCCCACATATAGGACAACATAGACCTTTATTTCGTTGTTGATAACAGCTATCACAAACACTGTAATTAAGATGCCATCGCGAACTTGGTCCGCTACCAGGTGTTCTTGAACCACAGTCAGTACAAATTCGACAATTCTGTAATATGACATTATAGAAAAAGGTTAAAATAAATGAATTTATAGTTTTCATTTGGAAAAACTCATTGGCAAATACTGTAGTATTAGTGCAATAGAAGTTCATGTAAACCAACTGTTGATTTATGTAATGTACACTTATTTTGACCACAGACATCTCTGCTATTTACGCACTAAAGCAACAGTGCTACTAAAAGAACAAATTTGATATTCTGATTTTTCTGAATTTTTTGATGTAGTTATATTTATTTTTTATGTATTACATCTGGGCTTTAACATCAGAGTTCAACAAGTTTTAGAAGAAAACAAGCAGCCAGTCGGCTGAGATAGCTCCGCTGTTAGCAATGCACATTTCAATTAAAGAACAGAAGATATCATTAGAAAATGAACAATATGTATAGTATCAAAGCAATGGGACTTGCTGTTTTCAACAAGAATTCAAAAATATCACTTTTCACCAAAAATGACAAAAATAATCATTAAAATTAGATAATTGAAGATATCACCACGAAATTATCAAATCTTAAGGAGGTCCACATGTACTGTAAAATCTGTATTAGAAACCGCGGCTTCTATTAAAATGGTACAATGCAACAGAGGGAATGCGGCTTCTATTAGAGCATCTACACATATGAGAAATGATGAATTTTTGGTTCTCAATTATTCAAAAAGAATGGGTGCGACTTCTATTAGGGATGCGGCTTCTAATACAGATTTTACGGTAGTACCTATACATGTAATATCAAAGCAATTTGACTGGCGGTTTTTAACAAGAAGTCAAAAATATCACTTTTTACCAAAAATGACAAAAAATATTCACCAAAATTAGAGAATTAAAGATATCATTACAAAATGAACAAATCTGAGAGAGATCCACATGTAGTACCTATATATGTAATATCAAAGCAATGGGACTTGCTGTTTTCAACAAGAATTCAAAAATATCACTTTTCACCAAAAATGACAAAAATAATCATTAAAATTAGATAATTGAAGATATCACCACGAAATTATCAAATCTTAAGGAGGTCCACATGTAGTACCTATACATGTAATATCAAAGCAATTTGACTGGCGGTTTTTAACAAGAAGTCAAAAATATCACTTTTTACCAAAAATGACAAAAAATATTCACCAAAATTAGAGAATTAAAGATATCATTACAAAATGAACAAATCTGAGAGAGATCCACATGTAGTACCTATATATGTAATATCAAAGCAATTGGACTTGCAGTTTTTAACAAGAAGTTGAAAATATCACTTTTTACAAAAAATGACAAAAATATTCACCAAAATTAGAGAATTGAAGATATCATCATGAAATGAACAAATCTGAGAGAGGTATACCCAAGGTGCATATACACCAAGTATCAAAGCATTCAGGCTTGTAGTTTTCAAGAAGAAGTCGAAAAAGTAAAACATTGACACAGATGATCACTCATATGATAAGCTCCGCTCGACAAAGTCGACAGCGGAGCTAAAAATAATAATTGTATGAACATAGAGAAAAATCTGTATTTTCCAAAGGGCACTAAGGAAACTGATTGGGCATTTGATGCCTCTGTGTTACGACTGCTATTTTAATTTTATATTAATAGTAGCAACTGAGACCAAGCACATCAACGTTCAAAATGTATGAACAAGTAATAATGCTGTAAATTGAACACAGAAAACTTCAAAAGTGAAAATTTCAGGAGTGTTAGCTATGAAAGTTAGCTATATATGTTATATACTGTAGAATACTTTATTTCCGCTTGGAATTTATTTTCGCTATTTTCGCTGAAGGGATGATTCCGTGAAAATAAAATCCAGCGAATATACTTTTTTTTCCTATATTTCACATTAAACTCATCAAAAATCAGTGAAAATAAATTCCACACAAAACGCCCAAAAAGCCTTTTCAGCAAAAATTAATTCCAGCGAAAATAAAGTAGTCCACAGTAGGTTACTACTTACTTTACATTTCCAGCCATTCTTTGGTATAGTTTGCATGACAGGACGTAAACAAAACGTATGGTAACCTTTGTCACATGTGTCACATACTAACATTTTATTATCATCTCCAGGTTGTCTACAAAAAAAGCAAATGGAAATAGAAGTACACGAAAAAACAAACAGAGCTACAGAGACATTGGTACATTACAACAGCAAGAATTATTTGACATCAGTGATAATTTTTATTGAACAGTAAGTTTAGTTTTAATACTTAAAGAATGACATTGTATACTAAGAAGTAGAGATAGTTTAGATTAATGAAACAGTGGGTTAAGTATACTGATTTAGAGATTCTCCAAGCATTGAAAAATGAATGGAAGATGTGTGGGGCAAATGTCTCCTTAACCACATGTTCCAAACAACCCATCATAGAGCATTCAGACCCAATTTTCACCGTGTACATCAGTGTGGATGATACATGGTTTGGAGGTTGTAAGTATACAGATTCATTCTTACAACTTGGTAATAGCTTCATGATTTAGGTATAAAGAAATCCTGTTTTATGATGAATAGCATCCTATGGTACACACACAGTGCAAACAGTAGCTGTGACTGAATACTAACTTACCTGCATGTTTGACATATCTTGCACTCCGGACACTGCCATCCTGCCCGGACTACTGGATTAACATCAACTGGAGGATCCAGACAACTACCATGATAGTGTTGACCACAACTTGTACAGAATAACTGCTCCATCATGTCACCGGGACTATCACATACAACACAATTCGCTTCTTCTTCAGCAGCTGCAGTAGAAAGTAACAGGGGTTTCAAGATTTCAGGAATGCAGCTTCCGCTTTTGTAATATTAGTGAGGGACCCTTACATGACTCTGTACTTTCTCATAGACTCACTACTAGCAATGCTAACAGGGGCTTCTGGGATGCAGCTTCTGGATTTGTAATATAGTCAGGAACCCTTATACAACATTATACACAGGATATATTAGTAATTCCTCTGTACTTTCTCATAGACTCACTACTAGCAATGCTAACAGGGGCTTCTGGGATGCAGCTTCTGGATTTGTAATATAGTCAGGAACCCTTATACAACATTATACACAGGATATTATTAGTAATTCCTCTGTACTTTCTCATAGACTCACTACTAGCAATGCTAACAGGGGCTTCTGGGATGCAGCTTCTGGATTTGTAATATAGTCAGGAACCCTTATACAACATTATACACAGGATATTATTAGTAATTCCTCTGTACTTTCTCATAGACTCACTACTAGCAATGCTAACAGGGGCTTCTGGGATGCAGCTTCTGGATTCGTAATATAGCCAGAAACCCTTATACAACATTATACACAGGATATTATTAGTAATTCCTCTGTACTTTCTCATAGACTCACTACTAGCAATGCTAACAGGGGCTTCTGGGATGCAGCTTCTGGATTTGTAATATAGTCAGGAACCCTTATACAACATTATACACAGGATATTATTAGTAATTCCTCTGTACTTTCTCATAGACTCACTACTAGCAATGCTAACAGGGGCTTCTGGGATGCAGCTTCTGGATTCGTAATATAGCCAGAAACCCTTATACAACATTATACACAGGATATTATTAGTAATTCTTCTGTACATTTTGAAGTCAAAAAGAACACCATCAGAGATGTTCAATCTCCCAGCATCTTTACCACAAGCACTAGTTGAACGTCTATATCTGCAATAGTGCTCCAGATATTATGAATTTGTGTGACCATATATGGTTATTAAATATGTTGATCAGATCGTGTGCCCAATGTTTTCAATAAAGCACTGGTTGAATGTCTGTATCTGCAAAAGTGTTCCATATACTGTGGAATACTTTATTTTCGCTGGAATTAATTTTCGCTGAAAAGGCTTTTTGGGCATTTCGTATGCAATTTATTTTCACTGATTTTTGATGAGTTTAATGTGAAATATAGGAAAAAAAGTATATTCGCTAGATTTTATTTTCACAGAATCATCTTTTCAGCGAAAATAAATTCCAAGCGAAAATAAAGTATTCTACAGTTTGATAGTTATGCATTTTTAATGAGGATATACATGACCATATATGGTTATTAAATATGTTAATCAGATTGTGTGCCCAATGTTTTAAATAAAGCACAGGCTGGATATCTATATCTAGTGTTCTTCATATAATGCAACTGGTGTAATAGATACTACTGAGTTTTATTGTTATTTTACATGTTCACGTAGATTTAATTCAGCGGATTTTACCTATCAGTGAAAATAGCGAAATTAAAACCCAGGGAATAATTAATGCATTTACAGTAGTAGACATACCATGAGCCTCTGCTTGATCTAAGTGATCTGGACAAAATAACAGCATGTCTTTAATTTCCTGCGAATAAAAACAAGAGTAGTAGAGAAAAATGTTTGAAACCCTGAATACAGGATGAATCAGGTCTTCTAAGTATCACTATCATCCAACATATTGGGTCAATTTCCTGAAGGATTTTGGATAACCCCACACCAAATCATAATTCTTCTGTGCAATGGATAATAATATCAAACATACTCGTCTGATATCAAAGAAAAAATTTGGGAAACCCGTGAGCCAACGCAAAAAAGGTACAGGAGAATTATTTTAATTAAAACAATACCATTTCCTAGATAGTGCTTGATAAGATTTAATCTGATTCAAGTGATGTTATAGTGGCCAAGTCTGGTTAAAAAATAAATTATATTTATATCATATCGTAAATGTTAATTTTAATTAAAACTATGGTTTTGTTTTTGTACTGTATTAGAAGGAAATCAGACTGCTGCCAATGACCATGTGAGCAATACAGTAATCTGCATTTTTAATGCAATGTTCAGAATGTTTCAAAAAAACAGTGCAATCTATCAGTCTTAATATATTCTTTTTAATATAAGATCATATTTGAGATAAGATCAAGGACGTGTTACTGTATCTCAGGTGCAGAATAATCTATCATCAAAGTAGATTATCTCTGCAAACCAGAGTATTATGAGTAAACCCCAACCACTGTAATCTACCTGTATCTACGTACTATAAAGCATAAAGCCATTATTGCCCCTTGCTGATATTAATGTGCACCATTAAGGCAGTGACAAGATTTAGTACTAAACGGTTATTTAAAATAAAAAAATTCATACACACTAATTAAGTAAATGCATTGTAAATCCACTTTTAATTTGACAGTGATAGTATAATTTGATTTTTGCTATTTTCAGGAAAGAAGTGATTGAAGTGTATATTACTAAAGACAAATTGTATACCCACATAGAAAGTGGGTATGAAGTTTTGGTTGCCGGTTTATACACATTTTTTGTTACTGAAAATATACCTCTTTTACAGTTTTAAACACAATATATTTATCTATATAAAACAAAATATTGTTATATATAATTTTTTTTGTCTGTTCAAGAAGAAACTCTCACAGGAATTCAGTGAACTTTATGTTCTGTTCCTGTGTTTAACTGGTTTAGAAAGGGCAGTAAGATTCCAAAACCAAAACAGAAAACATCTTTACAATAATTGTTTCAATCACTGTGTTTTTGTTCATGCATACATATGCTCACTTTTCAACAGTGAATATATATAGCTTCAATAAATAAAAACAAATACGAAACAAAAAAGAATAACATGCCACGAGAAGAGAACTCAGTTGAAGCTTGTCTGAATTAGAGGGCTGGTTTTGGGCATTTACATTAAAATATCAGCAAGGTGCAAAACAATTGCCTACAGTTTTATAAATCCGCACTTTGACCCAGCGTTTAACACCAAAGAAGAATAAAAAGAATCATTCTTACCATATCAGCGCTTACCTGGAATGCCCCACTACTGGCAGCACACGGGTAATGATAAATTTTAGCACATCTGTGAACACGACACACTACAGTGGCACCGTATTTCTTACAATAACTACAGCGTTGGGATATCCCTGAGAAGACTGCTTTATCTACATTAATAAGCTGAAGATTCTCATTCTGACACACCCCCTCAGACCAGGCAGCGCAGCAATGGTGTGCAACAGTGTGACCTACAAATAAATACACATACAGGGGTTTTTACAGAAAACAATTTTAAGAGGAAGCACACCTTGCCGAGGAAGCGGGGCATTTAAATTGTTACCTATTCTTGCAATAGTAGGTAACGAAAACATCATGGCTCCTCGGCCTGGAAAACGTAAAATCATGGTGCATTTATCGTGACTGAAATATTTTTGTACTTAAAGCATATTTGATGACCAGACACATTGTCAAGTGGTGATGCTGGGATATCTTCACAGAGAAAAGATCGTTTTGTGAAAGATTTCATGTTGTATGGCAGCATGTAAAAGCATGGCCCAGGTGTGATTTCAAGTGTAATTGGCATTTCGTTAAGAGGGCGAACCACTGACTGACATACATATTTTAAATAGACAAACTGAATAATACATTTATCAACAATCCCATTATTCTTTGTCTTATTATTGTTATAATTACAAAATTTAGCACATAGTAATATTTTGGTAATGAAGTTAATTTCATATCAGATAAAAATGTTTGTTTGAAAAATCTGCTTATAACTGACCTGATGGTTCAAATACAATATTTAGATCTGGTTCTTCCTGATGTCCAACTCGACTAAGTTCATCAACAATCACCGGTGGTTTGCCGTCTTCACCCATAACGACACTGTGAGGATTTGTACGACGTGGCGATTTACTTCTATCCCTACAAATAAATTATCAATAACGAATGATGTAATGAATCACTTTATTTCAACACAACTAAAAGACGAGAGAGATTTCTGAAATCCAGTACTCTGTTTTAATTTAGCCAGAAATATTTTTTTTGTGAATTTTGTTCTGGGGTACTTAGGACGCTGACTTTCGAGTAACAGTTTCCTTGCATGGATCCAAAAATTACGAAATATCAACAATTTCAAGCGGAAAAATCTATACTGGTGCGCTACATACGTGTGAATGTGTCAGGTCACATTGAGGATACAAGTCTGATTAAAATCTGATGTCAGTTGAGGTTCTGGTCACTGGAGACCTCACCTTTTAACTATTGTAACCAAATTACAATGCAAATCACATTCAGATCTCGCAGGTTGAGTAATTAATCACAACTTGTGTTACAGATCTCTTTCTAGTTAAGCTTGCTGGAATTGGTTGACAAATCCAAACATTGGTCAGATACAAGGCGATGTTAACAGTGACCAAAGCATTCACCTATGTCAGATTTTAATTTGTTTAGTTTTTTCACCTGAGATGTAATTGTGGATTAGTATTACACAAATTTTACATGGTTAAACTACACATGGCTTGATATGTGGGGCAGATCACAGCATAAGATGGAGAGATCAACTACAGTGGGTAGGGAAGATCACAGACTATGGTCGGAAGATCACAGCATAGGGTGGGGAAGGTAATATCATAGGGTGGGGAAGGTAATATCATACTATAGGGTGAAGAAGGTAATATCATAGGGTGGGGAAGGTAATATCATACTATAGGGTGAAGAAGGTAATATCATAGGGTGGGGAAGGTAACATCATAGGGTGGGGAAGGTAATATCAGAGTGGGGAAGGTAATATCATAGGGTGGGGAAGGTAATATCTGGGTGGGGAAGGTAATATCATAGGGTGGGGAAGGTAATATCATAGGGTGGGGAAGGAAATCCATGCATACGGAGTAACAATATATACATGTTCGATAATAAAAAAGAAATACGAAAAAAAAAATATGCAAATTAACGCTTAGAAGCAATTCAAAAGGTGGTGTCAACTAGGTTGTGTGTTAAGTACAGCAACATAGAAAGAAAGTTATCAATGCTGTTTAATTTAAGTTGAATGACATCATCCTTATCTTTGTAACACTTCTTATATCCCCCACCCCAAACCATGACCAAATCATACCTAGTCGTTTTTGGTGGTCCCCTTTGTCTTCTTGTCGTCCAATGTCTTGGACTTCGTTCATTGTATTGCAATTCTTGACCGTCCTCTGTAGGTCGTCGTTGCCTAGGTAACATCTTCTTAAAAGGGTTAAATCCAGGGGTAGGATCAAATCTTAAAATATCACCTTGGCCAAGTAAACTTTTTTCACCACAGCAGCATAATGCACATATTCTTCCAATATCAGAGCTAGTGTGAGATGAACAATAACAAATCATGACTGATATTGATGACAGACAGTTGTACTAGTATATATGAACTTAAAATATAAAATATATTACTGGTATAAATGACATGTAAAAAACAGACCAACTATCATTTGCCCAATCAGATTGAAATAAGATTCTAGAGTTCGCTTATTTTTTATCTTTTGTATATTCTGTTTAATTTAAAGGGAAATTCAAGTCAAAAACATAATGCTCCCTAAAAAAAGTGCTCCACAAATGAAGGAGAATGGAATTAACAGTTTATTTATATCACTTTTCTTTCTCTAGATATTCAACTTTTCATCAATAGTATATAGTCCACCATCTTGATTCTCCAGCAAAGGATTGTGGGTAAAGTGTGATGACATATCCACTGTTATGAAAAATTTAGAAAATGCTTTCATCTTCAGTTTTGGTAATTGCAAAAAACCAACAATACAACATATTGTTGATACCAAATAATGAGTAAGTAACAAAAAAACAGCAAATATCATCCATAATGAATCATATGGTGATATACCTGCAAGAAATTGAGTACCGAGGTATTAGTTTTTTTTGTGTCTGTTGTATGCAAAATATGTTGAAAATGATTTTGGTATTAGTTTACTAGTTGAGTAAGATTTAAACAATTCTTGACTAAAAGTTGTTGAGAAAGCCTGTTTTAGCAAAATGCAATAAAAGCAACTTTTTTTTTATTTCTCATTTGTCAATGATTCAAATATAAAGTAAACAATCACTGTATATTACTCCCGTTCTATACGTCACTTAGATCCAATATTGAAAATTTTACAGTGAAACAACTAAGATGCTTCAACAAAATATAGTTTAAAAACAAACGCTCACTTTTGCCAATAAATATGCATATCTCTAAAAAAACCATCTACATGTCGCTATAAAATTCTGATTTGATCAACTGATGTATTTCATGGGCCGTGGCAAATTACAACATGGGTAGAATGTACATCAGGTAAGTTTTTTGCCACAGCAGAGAATCCATGTCCAATTATTGGCTATTGATTTTTCAACTGTATCAACAGAGTAAGTCAAATATACAGCAATGCTTCTACAAGCAAACACCGACAGAGCAGAGAATGATGGATGCAACTGCAACTCCAGGTCAATCCACGTGCATGTGCCAACATTGATTAATATCTCAACAAGCAGCCTGTCGGCTGAGATAGCTCCGCTGTTTGCAATGCACATGGCAATTAAAGAACAGAAGATATCATTAGAAAATGAACAAATCTGAGAGAGGTCCACATGTAGTACCTATATGTATAATATATCAAAGCAATTGGACTTGCGGTTTTCAACAAGAAGTCGAAAATATCACTTTTTACCAAAAATTACAAAAATATTCATCAAAATTAGAGAATTAAAGATATCATCATGAAATTAACAAATCTTAGAGAGGTCCACATGTAGTACCTATATATGTAATATCAAAGCAATTGGACTTGCGGTTTTCAACAAGAAGTCGAAAATATCACTTTTTACCAAAAATGACAAAAATATTCACTAAAATTAGAGAATTAAAGATATCATTACAAAATGAACAAATCTGAGAGAGGACCACATGTAGCACCTATATATGTAATATCAAAGCAATTTAACTTGCAGTTTTTAACAAGAAGTTGAAAATATCACTTTTTACCAAAAATGCCAAAAATATTCACCAAAATTAGAGAATTGAAGATATCATAATAAAATGAACAAATCTGAGAGAGGTCTACCCAAGGTACATATACACCAAGTATCAAAGCATTCAGGCTTGTAGTTTTCAAGAAGAAGTCGAGAAAGGAAAACATTGACACGGACAACGACGGACAATCACTCATATGATAAGCTCCGCTCGACAAAGTCGACAGCGGAGCTAATAAAAAGTTTACCTGTTGACATTATATACAGTCTATTGAAAATAGTAGTTTTGAGCTAAATATTTATTTTATACAGAATCATTAAAATATGATTTATTCTGACCATAGACACAGCTCAGTTATTTACCTAAGTGCATGCTTTAATAATAAAGCAAACTGTCTGCCAATTATTAGGACTCAACCATTTGAAATCATGGGGGTGACTGGAAAATTGTGACCAGTTGAACTGTTTTTTTTCCCGCGATGTCAATGTCTTATTTGTATATTTTCATTGACTGTGCCTACATGTTTTCTTGCATGTATTTTTGTTTTCTACCTCTAGCTTGCAATTTTTTTTAAACAAAACTTCCATACTTCAATGTTTCAAATGGTCTGCCCCTTACAATTTACTTATTATAGACTATATAATAAATGCATGGCATATTAATTTTAATAAACAGTAAAAAAAAAAAAAAATTGGCTTCAAATTACACTTACAGAGGTTGAGATGTTTCATCGGTTAAATATGGTTCAGAACATAATCCATAATGCGAGACATCACTAAATGTTCTATGATCGTCATGGTAACTATCATCATATCCATGGGATGGCATCATGTTGGAGTCTTCAAAATACTCTTCTTTTAAATCTGTGATTTGTTGAAGATCTAAACTTCCCGTCAGAGAATCACAAACGTCAGATACTACAGATTCTCGAGATGAGCAAGCTGCATCCGTTGCCATGACAACATTGTTGTCATCATCTCCCGGGTATCTCTCTCTCAGCATCGGATGAGGTCTGCAATTGGAAAATAGAGCAATAAAAAATTTAATTACTTGGAAGTTATTCTTGAATATAAAATGTGTGTTTTTTACTGTCATACGTCACCAACCTCACCAGGTTCAGAAAATCAATCCAAAAGAATCATGTGTTGACAAGCTACTTTTAACAGTGTGAATGCAGTAACAATTAGGACTACCATATTTCAGTGGACTGGCATGGCAACCTTCTATACTTACATCTTTTTTCTCGGCACTGGAAGCGTGCCATCTTTACGTGGCCTACCACGGCCTCTTCTAATGTTAACAATACCAGAACCTGGACTTGAGCCGTCACCCGTTTCAGCAACATACTAATAGTTAAATAAATAAATAAATAAAATAAAATAAACATGTTGTAGAGATTTGTACCAGAAAAATCACCAAAAGTAAAATATCTCTAGCCTACTAAATATGGTTTTCTCTCCGAAGAGATAATTTTGAGAGGCAAAATTATAAGTTAGTCTAAATGGAGCAGAGAAATGTTTTTTTTTTTTTACCGCAGTTGCCCAGGCAAATGCCCACCCCCAAATTTTAATACAATAAAGAAATTGAGGCCATGTCCGGACATATGCCCAGGGGATTTTTTCTACACTTGTAATAAAAAAAAATCTATTTTGCGTTCGTTGTATTAACAGTTGACTTTTTTGCAGTCAGTTGTGATTAAGTAAATGTCAATTGTGTAAAACGAGGGGAGGGGTGAACACGATATTGCCGTGACAGCAAAATAGGTAATTTTGTGTTCTGCCTTTAGGGCACCGCTGTTTACGTAATTTACATTTGCGTTTCAAGATAAATACGGTATATAGTTTTGAAAAGTATATGAATTACAGAACTGGTAATTGGTGTTCAGTTTTTGCAGAGTTCAGTTTAAATTTGCCCTAAAGCATGTCTTTGGGATAGAAATAGAGAGAAAATGTTCATGTCTGATTTTATTGTATTTATCTCATTAAATAACTCTAAACTGTTGTCAGTAATGTTTGCAAAAAACTTTTATCAGGCTGTGGGCAAAATACAAAATGTACCATGCTTGACCCCAAACATAACACATGTTGACCCAAAATGACATGTGTTGACCCTAAATGACATGTGTTGACCCTAAATGACATGTGTTGACCCTAAATGACATGTGTTGACCCTAAATGACATGTGTTGACCCTAAATGACACAAGATCTATATAATTAATGTGCATGTCAATGACAAGGCATGAATTTCAGAGACCAAAAGTTTCAAGGCTAGATATGAGATGAAATTGGCATTAACGTGATCATATTTAATGCTACAAATGCAATAAACGTTTAAATAGCATAAAGAATAGTACAAAAGTTCTGTTGTTAAGGAACAAGAATATGTTAGTACTTACATCTGGGTCTGGTTTTGTTCTGGGGAATTTCTTTTTCCGACCTAGAAATTAAGAAAAATACATGACATCAATATATATAAAATGATATACACAATATAGAAAATATATGCCACGAATTCACAAAACAATGGTTGGTATGGTGATCACCTCAATTGTATTTATTCCTATGGTAATTGAACTGCATTGTTTATCACAAAGTTTTGGGTCACTGTGACCTGGAGAGAATCCTGCTCAGGTCTATTTCCGTATTGACATGAACCTTTCTCACATGACCAAGATCTGGTTCGGAAATAACAGAAATTCTTCATTTTCATGAATTTTTGGCACTAAAATGGTCACTGCCATTCAGGTATCTTGAATCTGATCATTAATACAAGTACATATGTCACCCAAGATATAATGATACAAGTAACATCAGTTCATGGATGTCCGAGATAAAGGTACGGATGTAAACATAGAAGTGAAATTATTTGTCCATTTTTAATAAATAAAGCTGTGCCTGGGCTTGTTTCAAAGACCTTTATGTTGAGTCAGTATAACCGACCGCTAATGGCTGTATGACATGTTATATTTTGTAATTCCAATAACAAGTTGTTAGTGCAGTATTGGTTGTACATGTAGATGACTTGTAACTGAAAATAAATACAGGTATGCAGTGTGAGGGGGGGGGGGGGGTAAGTTCTGTGGGCGAATCGCGTTATTGTTCTACACAGAAAAATGCAGGTCTGTATTGGATAAGGATTTAGCAGAATTTATGATAAAAATACTGTGATAATAATTTATATGGGTTGGCAGTCAGAACACAAAGTAGAATGTATTATGAATACATCGGGGGAAAAAATTGAGAATACCATTTATCACATGTAACATGCGGTCACTTCGATGGAATATTACCCCCATATTCATTAACTTGTCAAATACAGAAATATTTTTGCTGGTGGGCTGAACAATATATCCGTACATTATCACGACGTACATTAAAAACTGAACCATGGCAGGTTTCAATCTTGTTCGTACACTTGTTGACCACTACCCAACAATTCTATTTTGTGTACTTGGCATGTTCTAGCTGGTGTTCTACATTCCCAGACTGAGTAAAGCAAACACGGTAGTTTGTGGAAGTTAAAGAAGAAAGGCATAAACTACTGCATTATGTTTGGAACACTATATCCACTTTCATTCAGAGATGATACACAGGTATTTCCAAGCCGCAGTATCTGCCTTTTTACATAATATGCATATTCACAGTAATTTTAGGGGAATCAATGTTTTAAATTTACTATTACATTCTATGATAAATAACTGTGGATTTAAATTAGCGTAATTAGCTATAAGCAAAATAGAGACAATAAACCCAGTGAAGACTTGCAATATGGACAAAATTTAAAATGGTTGTGAGAATTGGGTTTCCATGAAGTCCGAGTACCCATCTGTTTTGGCTCTTTGTAATTTGTAACCTGTCACTCAGCAAGTAGTGTTTCTAAATAATGTGTTTTTACTCATTGTTGTGTTATTTTGAAACGCCTGCAAAGCAGTACAGTCAGTGGATCTTGTTACACATACTCCACCAAAGGTGACACTAACCTGCATAGGTATATGTGCAATGCATTCTGTGTAAATGTTTCATGATTTTACTTCGTGCAAGTATTCTATAAATTATCAAGATAAAGTTGCTCGTTTATTAGGTCATGATGCTGCTTTTTTATTTCTTACTCTACTGATTGAATCATTTTTTTTCATAACCAGTATCCGACTTTTCTCTGGCATTCATACATGACATGAACATTTAAACTTTTTAGCATGTGCCAGGATCGTGAACGTGAACGTAGTAGCTTTTGTCGTACTCTGTATATTTTATATTTATTTATTCATTATTTACTTTTATCAATAAAACAAAGTTGCTCATTTGCATATCTGACCAATATTTATTGTTATAATTCACAGAAACACGATTCTGGTGCTTTAAGGTACATTGTACATAAAGAACAGCAGGGTGTATCATACCCACCTGATAAAATGGCAGGCTTCGTTTCAAACCATGAAACAAATCTTTCGTGATTTGGGAACAAACAAGGATTTCTGTGCGCTATGTATTACAGACTTGCTAGCGGGGTACATATGCTGATTTAAAATATGTCTTTCTTTTTTCCGTATAACGATATGGATTTATACATATAGCTACATATGGTTACATGTACGTAGTGCATTGTGAACATCTATATTTCAGTGTGTGTTAGAATTCTAAGCATGTCTGCAGGTGGCCATGTGGATAGCATGACATGCATGGTAAGTCAGGAAGTCGGTCACTGTATGCAACACAAGTTTGAATCTTATTTGTGTGTTTATATGTGTTTTCTCCATTTCTTGCATCTACAATGGTTATAGCGATGTATCAAAATTGAAAACAGGATTTCGTGCCGAGATCAGTTGTTGTCGTTCAGACATTGACACGATGTAGAGAATACCGGTACGTTTTGCACACTGACAACACCAAGGTATCTTTCTATTTATGGGAGCTAGAACTTAATCAACTCATCGCAGCTATTGAGTAAAGATGACATAAACACTTCAGCTGATAAGGAACTTTCCAGTCAGAGGGAGTTGAGAATGTAGTAGAATGTTGTGAAACAGGATAACACATGTAGCACATAAGCGACCCTTGTCGAGTTTTGCTACTTTGTTACTTGTACTACTGGAGTATGGATTTACTTATAGCAAAATGGTCACCAAATTGTTCACAGTTTGGGGTTCAAGATGAATAATGATTGTCTCTAAAAACAGAAAAGCACATGTATTTGGGGTCACCATGTATTTCAGGCCAATATGTGGTTAAAATGTGTTATGTTTGGGGTCAATATGTGTTATGTTTGGGGTTAATATGTGTTATGTTTGGGGTCAATATGTGTTATGTTTGTGGTTAATATGTGTTATGTTTGGGGTCAATATGTGTTATGTTTGGGGTTAATATGTGTTATGTTTGGGGTCAATATGTGTTATGTTTGGGGTCAATAAATTATTTTAGACCTATGTATTTTTACACTGATTTGACCACTTCAGAATTAATATAAATACTAGTACATGTACATTTTAATTTTCTTTTTTTAAAGGAAAACCACTGTGTATTTAAATAAAATTTGTCAATACCATAATTTACTTTTTACTCACATTTTCATAATGCATCAATTTGAAGGTGGTAGGTTTTACACATTTAGACTTTTACCACCATTAACATGTATGCATGCATTACCATTGCTAAAACATCTATAATTTAGTCTGCAGAAATAATAATACTGACAAAACCAATGTGTTTTTTGTCAGACTATAACAGATAAGTGATTTCCTGTGCAATTCTCAAACCCATGCAACTGTAAGCATGCCCACTTTTAAATCTATTTTGCTTATTTTAGAAACCTAATTTTAGTGAACTGGTTTTGTGCATAAGTATTTGAGCCTTTCACAAAAAAAGCTGGTTGGTTTGACCTATTTTAGCATTTTTAGGTCGTTTTGTAACAAATTGTTTCAATAGAAAATATTGTAAAACCGCTTTAATATTATAATTTCAGAATTGAAAGAAAATCCCAAAATTGTGTAGCGTAATGCATAGCAGGGGTCAAAATTATTAGTTGTCTGCTTGTCCTTGACACAACAGGCAGTTTTGGTATTGGACAACCAAATTCGAAACCTGATTGCCATTTTGGGACAACCATGAAAATAAAGAAAATTATTTACGCAAGTCCAACTCTGACCATGAAGCTATCATTTTATAGCTCTATGCTTTGACTGGCTTAGTAGGCATTAACTGGAAAATTCATGTGGACAACCAGTTGCTAATTGCAACTGTGGGACACAACCAGGTATTTTTTTCTTTGTTTAGATAGTATAGTATTATAACTATAAAATTTATGAAATTTTTTCTTCACAGAAATTATCAAGTTGCTCATTTGCATATCTGACCAATATTTATTGTTATAATTCACAGAAACATGATTCTGGTGCTTTAAGGTACATAAAGAACAGCAGGGTGTATTATACCCATCTGATAAAATGCCAGGCTTCGTTTCAAACCATGAAACAAATCTTTCGTGATTTGGGAACAAACAAGGATTTCTGTGCGCTATGTATTACAGACTTGCTAGCAGGGTACATATGCTGATTTATATATGGTACAATAAAAATTATGATTTTATCAGGTCAAAAAACCTGAATAATACCATATATGGTATGATTTATGGGTTGTATTTTTATGAAAACATGTTATATTATGACGCTATTATTCTAAGAAATAATACTAACATATGCATGAAGACTTTAATTAATTATTTAATTAATTAATTATAACAACAATAACAAGCCATGCATGGCACAGTCCCTGTTAGTTAACCAAATTTAAGATATATAGTTTTGTTTATAGTAATATAGTGACCCCTCGCTACTGTAGAATACTTTATTTTCGCTTGGAATTTATTTTCGCTGAAGGGATGATTCTGTGAAAATAAAATCCAGCGAATATACTTTTTTTCCTATATTTTACATTAAACTCATCAAAAATCAGTGAAAATAAATTCCATACAAAACGTCAAAAAAGCCTTTTCAGCGAAAATTAATTCCAGAGAAAATAAAGTATTCTACAGTATTCATTAATCATGATCGTGATGTGTTTTAATAAATACACACTATAAATAAACCCATGGGTGTATATGTGCCTTTTACCGTACATGTTTTTAATGCATGACCTTTCATGGCCCCTCGGTAAGACGCGACCCTCGACAAGTCACGGTTTTTGCTAAGATCTTGTCACCTGTGAGTTAGCAAAGGGCCACTGTAGAGATGGAACATAAACATGTCAGAAGACGTATGGATCCAGAAAATGATACTTGATTATGATTAAATTTTAAAATGATTGACATCTTGTATCTGATCGTCCATATTGAGAAATATTGCTCTGGAACAGCATTAATTGTAACAAAATGGTCGACTACATCTATTTTTATCTATAACATGATGTAAAACGGATATATAAAATTTGAACATAATCAGTCAAAGCATATCAGAGATATGGCTCTAGAAGTGCATTCATTTACACAAAATGGCCGCCAGTCAGCAATTTTGAATCCGATCTGAAAAATAAAATGATGTGCATCAGGAATCCATAATCTCTAATGTAAGTACCGGGTACCAAGTTTGAACAAATCCATTATAAACGCCAAGATCCAGTTCTGGAATGCCAGAAATGCTTTATTTTTGATGATTTTTTAGCACAAAAATGGCTGCCATTTGACCATTTTGAATCAGATAGTCGCACCAAAATATCTATGTCATGATATATAATGAATATATAAAATGTGAACATAATCAGTCAAAGCATGGCGGAGATATGGCACTAGAAGTGCATTCATTAAAACAAAATGGCCACCAGTTGGCCATTTTAAATCAGATCGTGATCGTGAAACATAATATTATGTATGATGCATGTGTGAAGTTTGACTGTGATTGGTCCAGGCATGTCTAAGATACATGTTCGAACGCACAACAAACGCACAACAAACGCACAACAAACGCACAACAAACGCACAACAAACGCACAGATGCACAAAGGTCAACTAATTAGCAGTATCATATTTCACATGTAAAAAAAAAAAAAAGTGTTGACGTAAATATTATAGATGAGTTAATACTGTTACGACTATTCCAAGAAATAATACAAACATATGCATGAAGACTTTGATTATTTAATTAATTAATTAATTATAGCAACAATAATTAGCAGTATCATATTTCATATAAAAAGAACATGTGTTGATGTAAATATTATAGATGAGTTACTACTGTTACTACTATTTCAAGAAATAATACAAACATATGCATGAAGACTTTGATTATTTAATTAATTAATTATAGCAACAATAATTAGCAGTATCATATTTCATATAAAAAGAACATGTGTTGATGTAAATATTATAGATGAGTTACTACTGTGTGCATAACTGAATGACTCTTAGCATGGCTCAGACTAACCATTGAACAATTTAGATAATAGAAGTGGACGCCAATTTCAAGAGAGAATATCTTTCAAAGACTTTGCTACATTGTACATGTAGATCCATGAATTAACTAATTTATTATGGTCACGTAACTGTGAATGATTCACAAATTTCACAATTTGATTTAGAAACACTCTCACAAGATTTGTTCACACTACTGAACTTTCGTTAAGGGTAAAATAGTTTTAGCTGCAATATTCAGGGATTAAAAATTCAAAAAATTTCCATGGCGAAATTATACCAAGATTTACAATGCATAATAGTACATTGGACTTGTACTTAACAAATTTAAATGTTTTGGTATTACTGGGCTTGTCACTAAGTGTAAATTACCTTTAGTCAGGGTCAAATGTTAAATGCAAGAATCTGCGCCTGCCACAAAAATCTTGAATTTCTCTTTTTTATAGTCAAAATGCATATCTTTCACATAGGAACGTGGCGTATACTATCAGAATTTATGATGTAAAATTTGTTAGTCAAGTCAAGCTCTTTATTATTATCTTTGTTGTCCAATGTGTTTGATTGTATACAAACCCTTGATGCAATTGCAAGGCAATTTCAGCCATGATGTTTCTTGTATTAATTGACATGCAACAATGTCCTTTGACCTGATGGGTCAAGTTTGGTATTGACCAATCATAATACTATGTTTCTGTGAATTCATGAATAATGCAATACTGAAGTGAAGTGATGTTTTACTACAATCTCATTCTGTAAGAATTAATTTTGGTGAAAAAACAACACAATTTAAAAAAACAACAACAGGTGATTAGCATTTTTTGAAAGGTAAACTTCAGTTATTTGAAAGGTCATTGTTGAAATGTAGTTTAGTAAAGTCATACATATACATGTCTAGTACACATCTCGAATTGGTTTTAAAAATTAATAGCAGAGTAAAAATCTTCTGGTGACAGAACTGATATTTTTCTTATAATAAATTAGTCATTCATCATATATAAACAATGTGAGTGTAAAAAGGAAAGAAATCAAGTATAACAAAATTTGGCTTGTGACCTCAGATGCTTCCTACAACCACATTCAATCTAATATTATCTTTATTTTTAGCTTTACAATGTCTCTCCCCAGCTGTGACTCAAGATCCTTACAAATCAGTCCTGTTAGAGGGCGCACTGACGTTAACATACAAATACTTGAGGTCAGCAGAATCTTGAAAATAATAAAATTATGATTCAGATAAAATCCTGACCTTTATCATAACTTGATTGAAACTAGTAAAAGAATCTTGACCTACTGAACATTTAAAAAAAATTTCAACCCCTGACTCTAAGCCATTTTATAAGTCAGTTACTTACTTATTTTAATAACAGCTTGAAAGAGAAGACATAACATTATGAAAGATCACCAAATTTTGTCAAATTCTTGTATCAAATTACTATTTAACATGTCATCAAAAATGCAGACTTAAAAAGATGTATATGAAATTTATTTTCTCAAAATAATTTATAATAATTTCATGAGCGGTGAAATTGACATTATTATAGCCAGATCTGAGAGCAATTCACCAATGCCAAATTGAATCGTTAGTTGAAGGCCAGCACGATTAATTCACATTGAACTCAATCCATAATAACACATGATTCCATTATTACATTTTTTTACCTGAAATTGCTGCAAACAGACCAATCACAACATAAACACGAGTTTAATTTCTTTCAAAGCAGAACTCAATTTTTTTTAAAACAGTTCAAGATGTTAACAATACTTTGCAATAAATATTTGTTCACAAAAATAAAATAAGCTTATACACCAAACACTGAAGTTAAAATAAATTCCACACACATGGGATTTCCTCATTCACCATGGCATGTGAAGTGAGGACATCAGCTACCTAACTCACACAGATTGCTTAGTATACTAGTAACAACATTCACTAGGAAACGCATTCCATTGTGTGAAATAA